ACAGAGCCCTAGGGGGAAGATTTTCCAAAGCTCCTGAGGGATTAAGGAGCACACGTTGCATTGACTTTTAGTGGGAACTGGGCTCGAGTCCTTTAGGAACTTTGGAAAATGCCTCCCCCAAATGTGGAACTAGACAAGTGCCTCGAGTCACTTTGGCCGAGGGGAAGAGCACACTGCCTCCTGCTGGACAAGTTACTTCCAATACGCTGTGTCCCGAGAATGGCAACAGCTCCCCCCACCCTGGTGCACCAGGGCTCAGAGAGCAACCTCAATGACACACGTAGCTGCGGGAGGATGTGGGAACTGAGCCATGGTTTAGCCTTTGGATGCAAGTCACTTAACCTCTTTGGCCCTGATGCAAAGCCAACTGTCGACAGCGAGAGTCTTCCCATTGACTTCAGTGGGTTTTGGATTAGGCCCTGTGGGGCAGATTTTCAAGTGCTCAGCATCTACCTCTGGAGACAGATTTCCGAGAAGCTCTCCTATTTCCAGAAACACTCAGCCTCCAACAGCAACCAGTGTGCTGAGACCTGTGTCTAAACACCCTCCCCTTATTTAGCTGCCCAAAAGGGAACTGAGCTTTTGAAATCTGGGTCAGTGTCTCTCTAGTTTCCCTATCTCTGAAATAGGGATAACTGTGTAACCACATCACAGGGATACAAGGTGGATTAATCAGCATTTGTAACAGTGCTTGGAAGATACCAACTGTCAGGGATATTTCTCTAAATAAGAGGGTCATGGCTTGGTCACTCACTTGCTTCTATTATTTTGGATGCATACAATGTCTTCTCCTCTCCTGACCCTAAAAAAAAATAAATAAAAAAATTTGGTCCTTTGGCAACACTGGGCTTTTTTCACCTGTTTCTAAACTAGCAAAAGCCTGGCACTTGCTTTCATGTCCAGATACAGTTTTGTCAGCAAGTTCGGCAGGAACAAGAATGGGTCTTGCAATCAACAGCCATACACGCAGCAAGCGAAGGTCCAAGATATCACCACCTACAGTATATTTCAGTACCAGAAGTTCACGTTGCCAAGATCTGCATCCAAACAATGGGCTAGTATCACTTTAAATTATTTCTGAATAGACTCGAACCCCTTGTGTTCTCTCACTTGGCAGCACTGATCACGTCAAGTATCATGTTTCATGCTGGAGAGGCCTTGGAGCTTTGTATTTCCTGCTTGCTTTCGAGCAGACAAAAGAAAGAGGGAATCCCCGGTGAGAAGCGCTGTTTCCCTGAAATATGGGGGATGTGCTCAGTAACCTTAGGCACCAGAAAATAATCCACTCCAGAGTCCTCAACTATTGGACAAGGGGGGGGGGGAGGGTCTGCATATACAGAAAGGATATTTTTATCCATCCGTATTGTTCCAAACATGAGCAAGCCGGAAAGGCTCAGGAAAGCTATTTACAGAAATACGGACGTTCCAGTTCTCTTGGCATGCATTTTCTGCAGCGTGTGTTTGGTTTAAAAGGAAGCCTTCCGAGTAACCTGAAAGTCAAATCGCTGCAGCTACCTACAGACAGCAAATCACAGCAAACAAAAAAGCATGTCTTGAAATATAGCAAAGAATAATTCAGACAGGAAGCCATGCTTTGTCCTCAGGCTGTTGAAAGCATGGACTTACTGAGGGGTTATTCCTAGTAGAACACACTGGATGTTGAAATTGGCTATAGTCTGACTCACAGTGTTTGGAAAAAAAAACAAAAAATCATTAGGGTCATTCAGATTTGATGGAAAATGCCTGCAGCCTGGAGGATCATCTGGGCACGGGTGGCATGGTCATCAAAACCAGTGGGTAGCCCCAAAATCATGATGCTTTCCCCACAGATCTTTAGAGCACCACAAAAAGCAGGAGCATTCCTGTAGAGTATTCCTCCACAATACTCTCAGGGCCCCAGCCCCTCGCAGCAGGCAGCCTATGGGACAACCACACCTCGGGCAAACCCTGGAACACAAGTGGCACAGTACAGAAGGAAGCCCGACTTTAACTTACATGGGGAAACCCTCACACGTCTTCCTTGCCTCCCCACCCTTCCCTCATGAAGCCAGAAGGGTGTCCAAAAGGGAAATGATGCAATCCCGATCCAATTCCCCCCTGCCTTGGAGTGAAATTTGTCCAAAGCACTGCTATTCAGCCAATGGAGAAACTGAGGCACAAAGAGGTGAGGACACGGCAAATCAATGGCTAAGCCAAGAATAGAGCACCAGGTCTCCCGACGCTCACCCCACAACTCCACCAACAGACTGCACCATATCAGAGCCTTCAGCATTTCTCCCGTTGCGAGTTCTGCACTGGACAGACTGGAGCAGGTGCTCCAACGTAGCTGGGGTTAGTCCTTTCTCTGCGACACCCCCCCGAATCACACGGCTAGTTTTATCACATCCATTCAAGTTGCTGCACGTTCACCATTTCCTCCCACTAGTAGGTCTCTGAGTGAGTTCAGCATTGGGAAAAAGTGCCAGTCTGGAGCCCTCTGTCCTGCAGCCAGTGGCCGGACAGGCTTCCAAACATGGGGCACAGCCCAAAGCCTAGTGTGTAGGGAGCAGCTGTAGGGGTGGGAGGGCAGATCGGCTTCCTTAGCCTTTCCCCCCGCCCCGAAGCTGCAGATCATATACGGGGTGCAGTGCTGAAGACCATCAATGCAGAACTGGTCGAGACCATCACCAACTCAAACGCTAATGAAGTGGGGCAGGTGGCATTTGCTGGCCTGAGGAAAAATAAGGTACAAATGGAGCTTCCTGAAGTGTCACTCAATTCCCTGTGCTCTGAGCCAAGGGTGGTAAGTTCAGGTCCCACGGATAGAATGGCGGCTTCTATCCAGGGCTGACGCTCTACAGCAGGGGTGGGCAAACTTTTTGGCCTGAGGGCCACATCGGGATTCCAAAACTGTATGGAGGGCCGGGTAGGGAGGGCTGTGCCTCCCCAAACAGCCTGGCTCCTGCCCCCTATCCACCCTCTCCCACTTCCCGTCCCCTGACTGCCCCCCTCAGAACCTCTGACCCATCCAACCCGCCCTGCTCCTTGTCCCGACCGCCCCCCCCCGGGACCCACCCCCTATCCAATCCCCCCAGCTCCCTGTCCCCTGACTGCTCTGACCCCTATCCAGACCCCCGCCCCCTAACAGGCCCCCCGGGACTCCCATGCTTATTCAACCCCCTGCGTCCCCTGACTGGCCCCCACCCAGAACCTCTGCTCCATCCAACTGCCCCCTGCTCCTTATCCAATCCCGCCGCTCCCTGCCCCCTGACCATGCCACTCAGAGCAGCATGTCTGGCAGCTGCACTGCCCGCCCGGAGACAGCCCCACCGCTGTGCTGCCTGGCAGGAGCTTGCAGCCCCGCCGCCCAGAGTGCTGGTGGCACGGCGAGCTGAGGCTGCAGGGAGGGGCCGGGGGCTAGCCTCTCCGTCCAGAAGCTCAAGGGCCAGGCAGGATGGTCCCGTGGGCCAGATGTGGCCCACAGGCCGTAGTTTGCCCACCTCTGCTTTACAGCCCTGCAAGAGCAGAGTGTGCCGCCCTGTTCTTTGAGGCAAGGTGGATGCCCCCTGGTATTTGTTTCCAGTTTCTCTCTAGAGGAAGTTAAGGAACCGAAGGGACTTTTTGTAGAGGGCCAGGAAATCTCCTGTCACCTGGCCTACACTCCTCTTCTACTCCAATAGCTTAAAGCACCCATGGCGGCATGAGCCATTGCTAAACCCATAATGGCTGCTCCATTCCCCAGCAGGGCACCACATCTCCCATTCGACAACTCACTGCTTTCCAACACTCCCACTTATCTGTTCCACTCCCCTTGTATAGCCTGCACACAGACAGGAAAGCCTTCAAGAGACCAGCCTCATCTTGAGACTAAATCTCCAGAGGACAGCCCTGCATTGTACAATGAACTCCCACTGACCGCAGGGGCAGCTCTGTGCGTGGAAAGCTTGCAGGAGTGGGCCCTTGGAATGGAATGATCATTTTTAACCAGACACTCATGTTTTCACATACATACAAATACACTCAAATCCAGGCAAATCCAGTCTTATAGCAAGTGTAAGAAGGGAAGCTGTAGGAGCCATCCAGCATGACGGTGTACAGCAGGTTCAGCCTTGGTGAAAGTCAGATCATCTCTCTGTTGTCTGTCAGCATTACCAAGACTGGAACAGAGGAGGAACAGTCGACTGAGTTAAAATGAAGTAATAATCCTGTATGGCCACCCCTTTTTCTTGAGTCCCCACCCTCCAACTGGACTGCAGAGTGCTGTACACTCCCCCCCCCAGCACTGGGATGAAATTCAGCACGCCGCAAACACTACACAACAGCTAGGAAGACAAGTGAAGACTAGTTAGCCAACACAATGCACAAGGAACAGTTTATAAAGGCAGCACAATGACAGAATGTCAAGGCAAACACCTTTGACTGTGGTAGAAAATTCAACGGGATCCAAAGACCACTCAATCAAAATCTCAATTTTAGAGCTCATCAAAAATCTGGCCCTTCCAGGCACACAGTGCCCCTGGTACCACACCAGGCCACAGTTTCAGAGGGTAGAGTGCCACCTACTGAATCACCAAAAGCACTTTTTGTAACACATGGTTTTCTTTGAAGCTCTCATATCCATCTACTGACCCAGCCTAAGAACTATGTTTAGTCTATGAGCTGCAATGAGATTACAGCTTGAGGTGTTCTTTGTGTAATGGCAGTGACCCATTGTGCTAGGTGCTGTATAAATACAGTGAGAAAATCTCTGTCCCCAATCTAGACAGACAAAGGGCGGGAAGGAAGTCAGAGGTACGGGTGAAGTGATTTCCCCAATGGTTACACACTAGACCAGTGGCAGAGCTAGGAGTACCCCACAATTGTCCTGACTCCCAGTCCAGTGACCATGTTATGGCAGCTTGCACATGTTGAGGAGGAGGGATAGCATGTTGCTTTGTTGCACCTAAGCCACACCGCTCACTGCTGGAGGCTGCTGTTGGCCCCCGTGGGTAGTTGGATGGAAGAACACACAAACGCCAATGTTCGGTTAAGTTGTAGGAATTTATTTTAAATAACCTACAGTTGATTAAAAGGGAATTCATGATAAAAATAGAAGATACTTGTTGAGGAAAGACTGCGGGAAATGGTCTTCTCACACACACTAAGCTAACAATGCCTCTAAAACTAATGATTATAGCAAAAAAAAAAAAAAAAGGTTTCACATTAAAATTCTGCTTTTTAATTTTTAAAATTTTTGTACACAATTACAAAAGAAAAAAATAAAAGCCCTAAAATCTTGATTATTTTTCCTTTTTTGGACCAATGCTCATTTCCCTCGAAATTTATTGACCTGTGAAACTTCTTTTTACACAATAAAATCTTTCAAGTAAAAGAGGGGAGGGGGGTTAAAAAAAAAGGGGGGAAGCAAAGAAAACAGTCTGCCAAACCTAAAAAGTGGGTATTCTTGAAGTGTATAGAGCATGCTCAGAACAAAGGATGATGGGAAAATTGTTTGTCACTGATTTCATTTCTCCTCAAATTCCACACTCATCCCTCCCCCCCACACTCATCCATCCCTCCCCATTTCCCCCCCAAAATCTACACGATCTTTAAGATCAAGAAGAAAAACGTTTAAATATTTTAAAATAATTAAAAGAAATAAAAATTCACATTTAAAAAAGAACACTCAAGTCAGGAAGCATCTTCCCATCATGCTTTGCTTTGAACAGATGTGGTGGGTTGTTTTGCGTTTTTATTAAATTCATGTTCCAATGCCACGATTGTTTTGAGTAAAACCAACAAAAAATAAAATAAAATAAAAGCAGGTACCTCCATGACCATCGTGACAGCTGTGTCAGGTGCGTTGGGTTTTAAAATTTTGTTAAATTCCTGAAATGGGGCAGAGGGAGGGGCAGGGGTTTAAGGAGTCCATTTTCTATTAAAATATAGAAGTTATTGCAAAACCCTAACTGTAAAAACGCACCAATATAATTGGATTTTGTATACAGTAGCTAAAGATCCCCCAAGCTATTCAGTGTAATGATGAATTTGCCTGGTGGAAGGTTGACAAATCCCCCATCCACTTGCCCTGCCTCGAGAGAAACAAAACAAAACAAAACCAAACTAAACCATACAGCTAGAATTTGGATCTCTGAAACATTTTTAAATAAGTTGTCCATAGGACAACTGGCTCAGCTCCTTTATAATATTTCCAGGTTTATCTTTTCTCAAAGATGTTGGTTTCTTTGTCTGATGCTCGCTTGCCCCTCCTTACCCCCTCCCCCACAATTAGGACAAGTAAGGCTCACAGTTTATCAATCTCCCTAAAACCAGGCTTCCCCCCACCCCTTTTTCCATAAAATCCAGCTCATTAAAAACAGGTTAAAACTCATAATCTTCGTCTGCCATGTCAATTGCCCAGGCAAATTTCTCTCGTTGGGTTTTGTTATAAATCTTCTCTACAGGAATCCCCCACTTCTTACACCTGAAGGAGAGAAGGAGACAAAAGTTAGTCACCCATGCTCACAAACATGCTCTCTTAATAGGAGCACCTGTCCGAGGATCATTATTCTTTTCGCTCCAATGCAACATTTTTCCTGTTCTCTCCTGTGCCCTCCTACTCACTGGCTCACACAAAGCTGGTCCCCCCCCAGGTTGGATCCTCCCACCAGTCTTGCCAATTCTTGACCAACTCAGCTTGCTGCTAGCTGTCCCGCTCCTTAATATTTGCAAAGAGAGGCTAGGCTAGGCTAATCGGGGACAGGACTCCATTGTGCTTGGCCTGGTACACAAAAGGTATACGACACAGTGCTCGTGTCAAAGAACTTACAACCTGCTACTCCTCCTTCCCAATCTCACCCACTACCCACCCCGCCTGCTGCAGATTTACCTCCCTTCCCACAGTCCTCAAGGTCACCGACATGCCAAACTCAAGGGCATGGGCACCCTTATCTGTCCCCATCACTGTTATCACAGGTCACGTTTGAGACATTACTGCACAACATCTTTCCGATGCCACATGGCAGGCTCTGCAGCTAGCAAGTCCAAGCTGTTTTAGTCACTCGGAGTGATTACTTTGGGATGGGATTTAACTCACAAGGATAACGCTCAAGTTGCAAACCATCCTGCAAGTGCCAGTAGCAAAGGAGATGTAATGGAGATCACAGGACAGGTGTATCTTTGCTAAGAACCATCCAGGCTGCTGAAGAGTTTTTTATCTTGTCTATATGGATGCATTGAAAGCATAATGGAAATCTCTTGGCACCAGCCACCTCTTCTCAAACAGAAGCCTTTGCAGTAGGAATTTCTAATACCGTAGGCAATTTAAAAGGCTGAATTCACCATTGACTGCAGAATCCCCAACTTCTGTGTCTGACAAAGGTTAGGTTGAGACTGTCCACATCGCAAGCCACTTCCCATACAAAACTGGCATGATTGCAGTGTCTGCTCAGAAGGGGCTCAGGACTGAAATAACGAGCAGGATGAGGTGGCTGGCCAAGAGAAGAGAGATGTGCTAGGAGAGCTGAGGGGGAGGGGAAGGAAGTGTTCACAGCATGCCTGTCTCTAGCCTCTACAGATGCTAAATTAAGACACCAAAATGTAAGAAGCAACAATGTAACAGTCACTGCCCTTTTGGTCCCAGAGACACTGTGGTTCCTGCTGGAAAGTGCTCTTAGAAAAAATGACTGAGGTCGGTCTAAAATACAAAAGATTCAGAGAGGCTGAGATTTCCAGGAGGGTCAAGCTACTGCCTGGAAACGGATTACTAGGCAGAGCTGTGCTAAGCCTCCCACCACTCTGGGACAGTGCACACAGCACAGGGGCAGGCGGGAATCCTTCCCCACATGGCAGCTTACCAGGCAACTGAGATCCTGGGATCCAGGTAGTTGAGTTTGGAGGTGCCCAAGGCAATTTGCTTGTTCTCCTCTCTGTCTGTGGCCTGAACCTCCAGCTTCATCAGCTGCTCCTCAATCCTCTGCACGGCTTTTTTCTTACTCTCCACTGTCCTGTGGATGAGGAAAGAATCAGGGAACTGTTCAGAAAGAGCTAGGCCTTCGTGGGGGTGCATTATTATCCTATGGGGATCCAAAGGGACCCTAGTAACTCGCACCTTCCCTGAAAGGATCCAGTGCTTGGCAAATGATACCAGTCAGCACTGAGGTGAAAGGTGACAACACTTTAAACAGTTCAATACACAAAATCAAGAATCTGGTATCAACTAAAGCTATTTGATAACGTTTTAAGGAGGCAGAATGCAGTTCCCCAAGTTGGAATTTGTCCAGGACTCTAGCGGTAACATTCCTATTCCCGTATAAAGAGAAACCCCAGTTTAAAGCCAGGCAGTCCACTCCTGCATGAAGTGGTATGAGATCATCTATTAAGCACAAGAGCGCAGTATTCAGTCTGATCTGAAAGAGGGTCATTTTTCCTACTCTGTTTGTAGAGTACCCCCTTGAAAGTCTAAGTGCAAGTGTACGCTCCTATCTGGTTTTTGCATTCAGCACCCAACACGCTGCTCTGTAGTTTCTACTGGAGCAGACACTAAGATACCAACCATCTCCTACTCTGTGCACCAGAGGGAAAGCACATTGCTCAGCAAACTGCTTCCTGGGAGAGGTAGGTAGGTAGGGCCTGTGTGGCGGAGCAGAACAGAGAGAGGTTTGGACAAGTCATAACAGAATGATTTCTTCACCAGAGACTGAAAATTAACAGAGTGAAGACAGCCCACTCATAGGCTCAGATGATGTGATCTGGGGATTCTGAGGAGTGTTCTGCACTCTCCTGTCACAGACGTGCTTCCAGTCTCTCACTAAACCATCAGCCACATGCCGAGCTCATGGAAGCTTTGCGGGTGAGGGTATGTTTTGTGAAAAGCAGAGATCCATGCAGCTGGCTAGTGACCACGTAAGGAGCGACAATGACAGACTACATTGTGCTCCTCAGCTAGGTGGCCATTTGCTAATGCAGGCTCAAAAGCGTGGGGGTGGGGAACAAAAACTTGGAGGATCATGGATCTGGAGGGAAGGGGGGAGGTATTTAAAGCAGCACCGCTGAAGTAACAATCCCGTTTGGGGCTGTTGCCCTGCGCTGCCGCGTGAGACCTCTTACAGCTTATCTGCACTGAAGCCAGACTTACTTTTTGGACTTTTCATCCCTCCGGACCTTGGCATCAGCTTTGGCGCTTTTCAGTTCTCTCCTGGCATCGGCTAACTGGTCCTTCTTGGCATCGATCTAGAAGAGGCAAAAACCCAGAGAGCAGGGTGGGAATTAGGAGTCACACCCACAAAGTGTAAACGACTACAGAAGAGGGGTTCACTGACATCCAGGTCAACTGTACAAACCTCCTAGCAGATTCGCCACCTGTATCGAAGGGCCTGGGATTCAACCGGTGAAGTATATGTCTGAGTGGGACACGAGTCTGGGGCTTTAAATAAAACCTCACACACTGGGCCTACATTTTCAAAAGTGACCAGTAACTTAAGACACCATAATGGTGTCTAATTTGCTATGCACTTGCCCTCTGACAATCAAGCCCATCCAAGGTGAACACTGGAAAATGGAGTCACTCCAAATCACTAATCACTTTTGTAAAAATTGGGCCATTGGTATTTCAGATGCGTTGTGCACAGAGACCAGCTTGGGGACAGTGCAGAGGGGATTATCTTTGTCACAGAAAGGGGTTCCTGTGGCATTAGGAATGTACAGTTCCAACCAGAAGGTAGTAAGTAGGATAAAGCCTCTGGTTACTGCTCAGGAATTGGCATCTGAGCAAGGGAACTGAGTGGAAGTATAGTAGGATTTGACAAAGCAGAGCTGGCCAATAGCCCATTTAGTCAGTTAGCCTCTCTGAATATGCTGGATGCAAACCAATAAAAATTCATCTAAATATACCATACAATCCCATGGAGGGAAATTTCCTGACCCCGGCTTGTGATCAGTTTATGCCCTGAATCATAAAGATTCCATGCTCTTGATATTTTTTGGAAGATTACAAGCACTGAATCTAGACGGTCAGTCTTAGCTTGGGATCTAGTAAGGTTTAAAGATTCCCAGCTCCTTAGTCCTCAACTGCTATTTTGAAACTCTCCTCCTCCTCCCAATGTAACAACTCAAGTCAGTTGTAAAAATCAGGGGTGGGGGCAGCCAGGTTAGGTGTTACAGAAGCAAGAGAACACCCTAATGCTAAAACAGAACACCTTATTGAGAGGGTTATTTTAAAGTCAGGCTGTGAACAGACCTAGCCACATTTTGACCTCATGGCCTTCGGCAGAAACAATCTGTAAAGGAAGAGGTCGAGTTAGAGGAGTAGAGTGCACTGCACGCAAAAGCTGAATTGATACAAAGGTCTACCAGGCCACTCTGAAAGGAGTAGACACCTGCTCTGGTTTCCTTTCAGGGCCACAAATCTGAGAAAAGGACTGTGGTTTTAAGTTAAGTGTCCTCAGCGTGCAAATCAGACTTTGCTGAGGGGAAAATGACATGTTGCAAGGAAGATATTCTAGGGACTTTTTTGGCTTAGAAAGCCAGCTCATGACCTTGGCACCTGGTTGGTTGGCTAGGGGGCAGAAAGTTAGCTGAGAGGTGGCCGATTTCGTTCTATCCAAGTGAAAAAGGGTGCTTGTGTCTCAGACAGTCTGTCCTCAAGTGGAAGATTTCTTTTTAAAAACCAGAGGACTCGTTACAAGACAGAGTGGTTTCAGACCCAGCCACACTAGCACTCCGTAGGCAGTGGAAAGTGGACTCCCCTTCAGTGGGATTTGCTACACCGCAATTAGAAGCAAATGATGATACACCCACAACCAAAGGAAAAAAAAAGTGATTGCTAGCTCTGCCTTTAATCGAAAGGAGACTAAAAATTACCTTGGTTTGTAGATTCATCATGGATTTCTCAAAAGTCTTTGGTGGCGCCCTCTGGTGGTTACACAAAATAGCAACAGCTCTATTGGCACGATTATAGGAAAGGATCTTTGCTGGGATGTTATCATCCGCTGAAAAAGTCGAAAAGCAGGTGAAACAATTCTGAGAGGTTGAGCAGCCACGGACATGCGCCGTTGCTTTTACTGATTCATATTCACTAATGAGGCTAAGTTAGTCTGAATTCATCTCTAGTATGCCAGCCTCATTTAAATCCCAAACCCAAATTTTATTCTGGGACCAAGGAGTTAAAGATGCCATTTACTTCTCTTTGTGTACCACAGTCATGAGTAATTTCAGCAGAGAAGAGCTCATCACAGTCAACAATGGAGAGGGACAACATATCTTGCAGTCAGAACAGAGTAAGTGAGGATTGTTCTTGATAGTACGTAACCTTGGGCCTGACACTTAACTGTGCTAAGCCGCCATTCCCCCTTCTGTAGGAAGGACGGTATCTCCTTGCCTTAGAAGGAGGGCTGGCTCACCCATGTCTTGTGCAGCATTTGGATGGATGGCGTTACAAAAATGGCCAAGTACTAATGTTGGCCTGCACGTCTGAAGGGGGGATTTTCCAGGACACAGCCACTCTCCCTCTCTTCCGACCTCAAAGGGTCACTTCTAGAATTTTAAGTTTCATAAGATAAAAGACACCCATCAAAGACAGTGGGAGGCAGGTAGGTCCTGGAGACCTAGCTGTGCTGGCTGCAGCACACCTGGAGATGATGGTATGAATGCACCAAGATGGCTGTAGGCCAAGTCTGCATCACCCCAGTCCTGGAGTCACTGGCCCATCCCCAGTGCAAGCCAGTAGCCACAGGGCTGTTTTGGCAGCTGTGGATTGGCTAGAGGCTGCAGATCCCTCAACAAACTCTCTCATGTCAGCCATGCCTCTTATGTTGGGGGCTGCAAGGGGAGTAGCATAGATCTAGAATAGCCAACCCTATGCCACCTGGCATTTTAAGGGAATCCCTAGGAAGCCGGTAAAGTCCTCTTTGAGGTTGCCTTGTGCCACTACAGTGGGACAATACAGCCTTGTGAGGGACCAGAATATACTTTCCCAATAATCTAAACACTTCAAGGGAGGTCAAACTTTGGAACTTAAGCCAAAAGAGGGGAGAGTTTTTGGGGAAATCCTAAGCCATGTTTCATCCTAAATAATTTGTCCATCCCGTTCCTAGGGTTTTGGGCCTCATTATCCAGCAAGACCATTTTGTACTCACTGAGGCACCCCGGGGATCCACCCCAAGGCATCACCACCACACAAATCACCACCACAAATGAGGCTAGGTGGTCCCAGACAAATAGCACTTACGGGTAGTGAGTTCTTTTAGCTGTTGCTGTAGCGTGATGGAGGCATTGTAAGTACGGAATACCTTGGCTGTCAGGCCCTCCATAAGGTCTTGAAGATGTTTATTTAAGATACTGGTCTAAGGGAGCAGAAAGAGTTTGAGGTTTCAGTCACTCCAGCATTAGGACTAGAATCCTTCTGAATATTTTCATCCTTGCTAGACTCACAGTCTTGCCATTGGACCAGAGGTTTAACTGTGAATTTCTAGGTATCCACACTATGATCCAGGCAAAGAGAATATGTAACCCATGCCTGGAACCTTGCTGTGTCTTCCTTAGGCCAATATAGGAATAATGGAATATGTGGTAGCTACAACTATTGACAAAATGAACAAGGGGCTGGGGCGGAACTGGGCTGTAGATCCGCACTGATGGAGACTAGGGAGGAGGAAGAACCAGCATCTGATGTGATCACTTGAATGAATGGCAAAGCAATTCTTCTTCCTTCACTGTTATACTTTTGGCCCCAATACGTGGGGGTGGGTCTGTCTCACCTCAGTAGAGGCACTCAGCTCCTTCACAGTGTTTAAGCTGATCTGAGTGTGTGTGTGTGTGGGAGTGGGTAGCAAGGCTATCACCTCACACGTCCCACGCCTCCTCCCCATGCTTAGGCTGCTGTTGCATAGCAACAAGCCCTTAGTCGGAGCAAGCCAGTCTGCTTAAAGACTAAGATTTTAGACCAGTCATGTAAATGGGCACATCCCTACAGAGACAGATGGCCATTGCCTCTGTGCCAGTCTTTGCCAGGCCCACTGGAAGGAGACAGATGAAATCGAGGCCTTCTCTGTGGCAGTACGATTTGCTATTGGCTGGCCAAAACAACAGAGCCATCGTACCACATTCGTCTAATAGCATAGTAAGAATCACTAGGGTTAGAGTAAGGAGCTCTGAAGCAGTATTGTTGCTTACATTGAGTCTGTCAAAGAGGTCATCCTCAGGCTGCTTGTTCTCCATGAACAGCTGTAGATTCTTAAAAACCTACAAGAAAGGAGAAGGGGAAAAAATACTTCACAAGGCAAAGCAAGGAGACTAGATGGCCCTGGGGTTTGGGAATGGGATAGAGAGCCTTTTGCTTCTGGGTTCCCAGTTCAACAGTGCCTGAAGGTCATTACCTTCTAAAGGCTACCTGGTCATCCATGGGAGAAGAGTTGGATCCCATTCCAAGTGGACAGGTATCCACATCCCAAGTCACCACTCAAGCTTGTGCTAACAGTCTCTGCCCTGGCAGCAGAAGAGCCAAGGAGTGAATGGCCCATCTCACACCTCTGAGGTGATCCCTCTAGGTCAGAGCTGAGGGAGACTCTACTACCGCCGTTGCTATTAATTGCTCTGGTTAAAGAGAGAGCCAAGCTGGCACTTTTCCCTGGCAGAACAAGGTTACTCTCGGAGCATCCTTGCTATCCAGTGTGCACCCTAATCCTTCTCCCATTGGGCAGAGTTGCCATCTCAGGCCCAAACCAGTGACGTAAACTGCCTTGGAGCCCTGATACAGCCACATCCCTTAGTTGCATTTGATGTTTCATATAACTACACCACAAGCAGTTACACTCAAAAACAATCAAGGCTTCCTAGATTATGCAGACAGACCATGAATCCCTGCTCTACATGGCTCTGAAATCACTTGAAAATTCAACTTCCAGGCTTTTCAGCCACACATTTTGATAACAAGACGACATCTAATACACAGAGATTTCTATTTCCATAATAATCAATTCCCCCACTGCGAACTCTTAAAGAACACACCCCAAGAGGGACTAATGCCAATGAATTTAGTAACAGAAAAATAGATTTTTCTTTCTTAACCCCTGTGACTCCCTCATTTCTATAACAGCAGCAGTTTGAAAAAAAAAGTCAACATTTACTGCTCTTCACCATTCAACTCGTCACAGCATTACAAACACTGTATTTTACACACTGTGCTATCTGCATAGTTAGTGGGCCAGATTCCTATCTCTTACACCAGAGTAAATACAGCATAAATAACTCCCTGGATTTTGTTTAATGCCTCTGCTTATATTGAATGGATGGAGATTTATTCTGGAGCGATCCAAGTAACAACAGAGATCGAACTGGTGGACTGAATATAAACAAAGCAAATAAATATTGCATGGAACAGGAAGGTCTCAGTCAGCAGGTATGTACTTTGTACAATAGTTCTTAGGTCAGGCATACTTCAGCGAAGCTGCTCCACTGATTTACACCAGAGTACCTGAGAACAGGGCCTAGCCCACTGAAGGCAAACATTCAGACGTGAGCTTCAAGAAAAGCAATCCCTTGTATAATATCCAGGCACATGTCCGTGATACTTGAGGCATAACTCCAAGTTTGCTTACTGCTACACTAGTAACAATGCAGCCCGGTACTGGCCACCCTGTGCCCTTCATGCTGCTGGGGAGGTTTGGCTTTTGCACCTGTGGATATGACTGTGTCCCAAAAACGTCTATCACCGAGAAAAAAGCAGGATGCTAAGGCTGCAGACTAGCAACCCGTCCACATAATGGCTTTAAAATAACCATTGCTGGTCACATAGGTATGGCACGGATTAAATGGCCACCAGCTCAGAGCATGGAGACCTTAGAAAAGGAGAAAACTTCAATAAAGGTGGTTACTTCACATCAGAACCAGGCAGGTGGCAGCCTTACTCCTCCAAAGCACCCACAGAAAGGGAAGGTCAGAAGATAAGCTATCTTATTTTCTGCCTTCACATTTGGATAAAAAACGATGTACAGGAACTGCCACTTCTGGAGATTTTCCACCAGCCAGTTCCTCCTTTCCTTGCAACACTGCACGGGGACAAGAATGAGAAACATCTCACCCTCTTCTCAACGGGGACTTTGTTGTAGTATCGGATGGAGTCTTTACCGAGGAAGTCAAATTCAACCATGTATTCCTGGCCATCCAACTCCGGATGCAAATTAATGTGTTCCACTCGGAGGGAGCAGCAGCCAACGGTGTCCGCTGTCTCCCCTTCTTCCTTCTCATTACCAGCTCTCAGGGCAAGCTACAAATTGAACAAGAGAAGGGGAGGTGGGCAAATGGAATCAAAATAAGAGGTTTAGCATTTCAAACTGCTTTGGTAATTTATGGATTGTGGGGTTCTCTAGGAGTCTTGTCTGCTCAGTAACCAGGGTATTCCGATTTAGCGGGGTACAGTGTGTGCCTGATCTTTGAACAGAAGGGAAGCATGGACATTCAGAGAAGCTAAAGACAGGTAACTCTCAAAAGGAGAGGTTTGAAACTTAGATTACCTACATTAAAATATAGATAGTTGGAGACACAATGAAGTGCAATGGAAGTTATATGCCTGGAGCCAAAAGAGGGAGAAGACATCAAAAGATGCATCAAAATCAGGATAAATAAAAAGTTGATTATATTTTAAACTGGATTTTTTATATAAATTAAAACATTAAAAAAAACCCTGTTTAAAATTAAATTTGACATTATGACAACCTATGGTAAGCCCTAATTTACTATAATTAGTAAAATTATTTAAATAAAAAAGAAAGCTTGTGCCTTAGTTACTTTTGGTTTCATTTTAGCTAGCAGTTGCAGAGAGAACATATATTAGTGTTCTTCATTTGCACTAGTTTATTCAAAGGTGAGAGACACTGACAAAGCTGGCCAAACAGGAAAGCTTTTCCTCTTCCAATATAGGCATACAAACCAGGTGGGAGAGGATGAAATCTATTAATGCTAAAGACATGGGACCAGATTTTCAAAGATATTTAGACACTTTAGGATATAGATAGGTTCCCAGTGGGATATTAAGAGCAAATAAGCAGGTTTAAAAATAAGAATCTGCATAAGTGTAGATTGCGCTATATGATAGCTTAAATAAATGTATATAGCTATAGCGTATCCTCCTCGTTGGCCAAAAGTACCACCACATTTAGAGGCTACATATAATTGCAAACAAACATGTTTTCATATTACCTACCAAGGAGAATGAACCTTTCTTTAGGAAAATAACTAAAAAGTACACATGCAAAACAAGATTAAAAGCAATTATTTACAAAGTTTCCTGCTTGCTAATTTAAATCATGACTAAAATTATTGTGATTTAATTCAATCCACACTGATCAAAATGAGTAATTAATTGGTCACAGAAGCCACACAGCAGTGCTATCACTATTTGGGACACAGTTTTAAATACTACAATTACGTAAACTTGGTGACGGACTACAGTTTTCTTAATTGTGGCAAGAGGAAATAGCACAGTTCACGTCAGAGTCGTGAGCTTCATAACTAAGTGGTAATAAAAAGCAGAGCATTTCAGTAGGAGTCAGAAACCACTGGAAGCCAAGGGCCATACAGCCACCTGCAGAGCTCCCACTGATCCAACTGGGGGACTCTGGAATTAACCTGTGACTTTTGTCGGAACAAAACAGTATTGCCCAACATAGCCAGGTTCAGTATGGCAATTTATTGATCTGGATTTCCAGTTAATTGGGAGGAAGTGGAGACCAGAGACACTCCAGGAGAAGACCTCTGGGTCCTCTGAGGACTGGACTTCTAATAGAATAACCAGTAGTTCTCTCAAAGCCCTTCAACTCCCTTATTTAATTTGTGCAGTGGGTGAGCGTTTCTATCAGAATTTTATTTGGGCTTAGGGACAGGTGCCCAACAGCCCAGCATCTTTATTCAGAATGAGGCAGGAAGAGGAAACTGCCAGAAATCAACCCTCACTTTATCAATGAAGTACAATGCCACAGCTCTCTGTCGCACTTTCATCTCTTTGGACTTCCAGTCTTCTCGATATTGATTCCGTATCTTATCCACACACTTCTTCAACCTCCGAGCCGTCTCGTATTTCTGCCAGTCCTTCTCACCCTGCAGAGACAGTCACAAGAAAGTCAGCACACCTGAAAGTGAGCAGCAGAAGCAGAGAGAGTTCCTACTCAAACCTATGTGCACAAAATCACTGGGAATTCATTGATCAAAGTTCTGCCTGAACTAAGTTCTCATGCAGTTGCACATCGTTCAGTAGCCATGACATCAAGTGCCTGCACAGAAGTCAGAAATCAGATGAGAGAGGTACTTGGTCTTCCAGGCCCCTCAATGTACAAAGGTACCCCCTACTCTATTAAGGAGATTGCAATTTTCTTAGCGGTCCTCTTCTCACAATTAGAGACCCACTCAGTAAAGCCATAAAGACAGCAGAGTGAACTCATTTAAAAAAAGATTTGAATAGCACATTAGATGTGTGTGATGATACGGTTACTATACGTCAGCAGAAATTATGTCCCACCACACACTCAGGTCAAGACTCTTATTTCGCTCCAGGGGAGCCACCGACTAAGTGTAGTGGCTCTCTTAAAAACAGGCAATTTTCCTGCTGAGAAGGCCAAAAATCCGTTCTACTAAAAAAGGAAATCCAATTACCTTCAAAATCTCATCATTTGTTTTACATGATTTGACAATTACCAGCTATCCGTGCCTACAGAGGGGTTTGTTCTTCTCAAAACATCACCGTCGCCTCCATCTTGCAGTGAAGTTACATAGCTGGATTTATGCCTTTTCAATTGACTGACACCCAGCACATAGTTAGGAATTCACTGCATGATCAGGCAGGAGACACTGGGGCCAAACTTAGAGACAAAACTGGCAGAAATTTTCTTCTACGTTTACTCCAGAGCATGAAAGGCTCCCAACTAGGACGGGAACATCCTTTCATCCAGAAATCTGAAAGTACTTCATAGATATTATTCCACACCCCTACCGAATAGCTATTACTCCCTATTTGGCAGATGCGGAAACTAAGGCAAAGTGACTTGCCCAATATCACACAGTGAGTCAATGGTAGAGTAAGAAAAAAGTTGGTCTTGCCTCCCTGTCCGCTGCCTTAACCACTAGATAGACACACTCCCCCCCTTAAGAGAGTTGGTTAAGATACAGCATGGCCAAGCAACCTTCCAAATAAACCATTACCTTGATTCTAGAGCTGGGGTTCAACATGATATATTTAATAGATCCTTGGATGTTTTCTGTCCATGACACCAACCAGGTCACCTTGTTATCATGCCGGACCTCCTTCCATTTGTGACCTGGAGGAGGTGGGGGAACTTTGGAATCCCTGCATAAGGTAACAAAAACAGCGAGAGGAAAGAAGTGGTCTTAATAGACCCCAGGTGACAAAATATAGATGACTAGCAAAGATTAAAGTGTTGATGGACAGCAACAAATATTAAACAAGTCTCTCTCCCTACTCTAGTCTGGGCAACTGCATTTCTGTAGCGGGATAGTAAGATGAATCAAAATGAAAGTCAAAGATCAAGAGATACACAGTCATGGTTATGCTTCTTATGGAATTATTCCCTTTTGTTAACTATTGTGATAAGTAGCATTGTTGGGAAGCTCGTTGCTTTGATTTGGGGATGTTTCTGCAGCTTCACTAGTCTACATGGAGAGGGAGAAGTCTGAAGACCCTACACATTGGTCTGTTGCCTCTTAGGAAACAAGAAAAAGTCAAGTGGGAGATCCATACATAAAATAAATACCCTTTGGCCCCAAGGGAATAGAATGTAACAGGAGCTGCCCTGCACTGTAACAGCAGATGCTGGTGTTGATCAACACTGAGGTGTGTGGACAGAGCTCTGTGTCTGTCTTATGTAAATAATGGCTTGTAGACAACTGATGCTTTCATTATACTTCTCACCCTTCAAAATACCTAAAATGACCAAGAAACCCAACACATGAACTTTTGAATGCTTAGATGCCATGTCAAGTTACATATACGATAAAAAAAAGTTATCCTAACTAGTAAGCAAAGCAAGGTGCAAAGCATCCCATGCTCACTTGCTGCAATTAATGATGATGTCTTCTGGCATGATCCGTCTCTTCAGCATGCCCATTTTGGGATGGTTGCCACGCCCTCTGAAGAGACCAGGGGGTTCAATCTTGAAGTTGGCGATCCTCTCCTTGTGGTTATCCATGATACAAAAGCCATATTCTTTTAGTAACCGCTCATTCTCCTCTTTGATTTTCTAGGAAGACACAAAGCAGGGGGATTGCACTGCACCCAAAGACACCAAGTAGCTCAGTGACAGAACGAAGCAAAACTCATTTATTATTTGTATTGCAGTAGCACCTACAGGCCCCAATCCAGACTGGGGCTCCATTGTACTAGGTGCTGTACAAACACTGAATAAAAGGCAGTCTTTGTCCAGAACAGCATACAATCTAAATGGCAAGACAAACAGAAATAAAGTCAGGAACTAATAGTGAAGGCTACGATTTTGTCACAGATGTAACTGAATTCATGACTTCCAGAGACATAGTGACTTCAGACCGTGGTGACTGGGAGCTGCAGGGTCTCCCCACTACCCCTGGGGTGGGGGACCCTGGAACTCCAAGCTGGAACCCCCGCAGCTACCCAGCCACCGCAGGCAGTGTGGGGACTCTGCAGCTCCCCATTTTGTTAGGGATATTTTTAGTAAAAAGTCAAGGACAGGTCACGGGCTTCCGTGAATTTTCTTTATTGACCCTGCAGGACCTGTCCGTGACTTTTACTAAAAACATCCAAGACAAAATCTTAGCCTTACTAATACGCTAATGTAATACATGCAACATGTACAATTTTTTCTAAATTTGTAATTACATTTCACTTGTCTCGGACCTATTTCCTCAAACCAACTGCCTCTCCATTCCCCTCTGTCCATGTGCCACAAACATCAAGTTTAAGGACTTTTGATCCACTGCATTTAACATCATGTTGTTTAAAGAAACAAGCTTCTCACTTTGAGACCTAATAACACAAGGTTGAAAGGTATGAAGAAATCAATCAATGCATCCTTAAATGAAGTTGCACCAACTGAGAAGTGGACCAAAAAAAGCCCCTTCTACTCTATTAGTTATCTGGGGTGGGGTGTGTGTCAACCAATATTTATCAAATAAAAAGCTGAAAGCCAGAAAAGCCAGGCACATGCTCTTTTCCATATTGGGAACCTTTGAATCCTGACACCATGGGGTTCAACTGTATTGGGAAACCCATCCCCCATCCAATTAGAGGAGCTCTGAACCTCACCACTTAGGACAGTTAAACTAGAATTACATTACCCAAGGCACTACATGGAACCAGATTTAGATCTTGTGATAAGTTTCTAGTTCTTACTAAAGTGGGTATCTAGGGGTTGTGTGGGAATGGAGGGAAGACATGCAGATACTCCTTGGAAAAAAAAGCAAACTCTTTGTCCTAGTAACACCGTGGTGCTGAAGGAGAAAGGGCCAGAAATGTTTTATCATCAGAAAGAGAACTGCAGTAGGTGGAGGTTTCTTGCTAAACATTGCTCTCAACATATTACCTATGCAGACATGTTAGAGGGACATAAGTGACGCAAGGAATCTCAGGGATGTTACTAGAAAACAAGCTGCTGGCCTCTTAGTCATCACATTAAGATCAGCAGAGAGACAGACTTTTAGCTAGAAGTGCAATACTTCTGCCAATCTCCGCTAGGTGGGGAAGGTTCTAGCAAATCCCTTCAGCGTGAGAGGAGTGACAGACTGCGCATAGATGATATGGCCAGAGGAACGAGTAAAGGATAATGATAAAAAAAACACCTAAATGGCTAGAACAGTCTTCTACAATTCCCTAGAGTACCTGTTTCTCTTCCTTGGACATCTGTTTCCTAGCTTCTGACTGAGCTTTGAAATACTGGCTCATCTGGGAGAAGTCACACTTGTTGAGGTTGGTGATGGTACTCTTTTCTTCTGAAGTCATTTCCTGGGAGGATGAAAGTAGAGCTTGAAACCTTCTTATAGTTAGAATAAGGATATTTAATTGCCCCTCCCAGCCCCTAAAAAGGTATCAAAGGGCAAGTGCTCCTAATAAACACAGCTTCTGCCTGTCTATCAAAGAGCTGTCAACTTCTAGTAAGTACTCAACCTAGTCAGGGAGAATGAGAAAAGGATGAAGAGGGTATATGTGGCACACAGAACATTAACTGTGTCTGATCTTTGCACGCACGGAGTGTATATTCTATTACACAGCAACCTTTCAAACCACTTAGCCATTCAAGGGTTGACGACGTTACTGGGGGAAGGAGAGGCCACCGAGGTAACCCGGGCCAGCTGCCTGAATATGCTTATTCTCTTGGCATGCTTATACTGGTTGGGGTGGTGAAGCTCCTACTTCGCAAGACTCAGAAAGGGGCTAGCCTCTGATACAAAGGTAGTGATGGCTCTTCAATTCCACAGTTTCAGTGGGGCAAAGATTCATAAAATTCCAAAGCCAGAAGGGGTCACTGTGATTGTCTATTCTGACCTCCTGTATAAAACACAGGCCACAGAACTTCTCCAAATAATTCCTAGAGCAGAGCTTCTAGAAAAACATCCAATCTTGATTTTAAAGTGGTCAGTGATGAAGAATCCACTACGACCTTCAGTAAGTAGTTCCAACGATTAGGAACTTTCATTATTAAAAACGTGTGCCTTATTCCCAGCCTGCATTTATCTAGCTATGACTTCCAGCAATTGGATTGTGTTATATCTTTCTCTGTTAGGCAGAAGAGCCCATTATGAAATATTTGTTCCCTGTGTAGGTACTGCTAAACTGTAATCAGGTCACCCCTTAACCGTCTCTGTTAAACTAAACAGATTGAGCTCCTTGAGCCTATTGCTATAAGGCATGTTTTCGAACCCTTTAATCATTCTCCTGGCTCTTCTCTGAACCCTCTCCAATTTATCAACATCATTCTTGTATTGTGGACACCAGAACTGGACACAGCCATACCAGTGCCAAATAAAGAGGTAAAATAACCTCTCAACTCAATATTTCCCTGTTTATGCATCCCAGGATTGCATTAGCTCTTTTGGCCATAGCATCACATTGGGAGCTCACGTTCAGCTGACTATCCACCATGACCCCCACATCTTTTTCAGAGTCACTGCTTCCCAGAATAGAGTCCCTCATCCTGTAAGTATGGCCTACGTTCTTTGTTCCTAGATGTAGACATTTACATTTAGCTGTATTCACATGCATATTGTTTGCTTGCACCCAGTTTACCAAGCAATCCTGATGCTCTGTATCAGTGATCTGGCCTCTTCATTATCTGCCACTTCCCCAATTTTTGTGTGATCTGCAACTTTGGCAGTGCTGATTTTGCATTTTCTTCCAGGTCATCGATAAAAACGTCATGATCAGCTCAGCCATGTCACATCACATGCAAGTATGACTTGCAAAAGGTCAACCCTTGTTCGTTTAAGAAATATTTACCAGGAGGCCCTTCCTGGAAAACTACAGCGTAAACAGGAACTTTCAGTGCTGACATCTGAGCCAGCCCTTTGGTCTCTGCCTCGCACTAGCATTTTGTGCACCAAGTCAGAGTAGCCCATTTCTCTCTCTAACACTCAGGAGAAAATGGCCGTGTAGGCTGTCATCTCAGTCCAGGGATCCGTACCTTTCTCCAGTCTTTAAAAAAGTTTTTCCTGAAGATATCCTTTGTAGTGTACTCATGATCAAGCATTTTTGCAAAGAATGTAGCAACTTCTTCTGCTTTGGGGCTCAGCTTCATTACTTTACCTATGAGAGAGGAGGTTTAAAAAAGGTCAGCTGAAGATGTTCATCCCCTAAATCATTCTGCTTTTTGCACTGTGATGTTTCAAGAGATCTTGGAACCCTTCCGTGCAACCGTGGACTGCTGTGGATGTACAATACACAGCCAGATTAGCCACCCTATGGAAGTATACAGTTTGTCCTAGTATTTCAGCGAGGTTTTGTTCAGTGTGCTGTACAGCACCACAAACTAGTGTCCCTTGACACTAAGTATGGGATGCAAAGGGAGTAGAGAAGAATGATCAGACTATTGAGGCCTAAAATTTGACTTGCATTAAAATAGTTATTATAACATCTAGATCATATGATATGATAATATGGCTTTTATTCAATTCCATCTTCTGCCTCTCAACATCTTTACTAAGCCAGGAGACAACAAATCATTTAGCCTTCCTATTCCCCTCACACACACACACACACTGTTTAAAACAGGTCAACTTCCTGTCTATGAATAGGCAGCTATTTCTAGCCAGGAACAGAGGCAAATCTCTGCCAAAGCACGCGCCAGTGACACCCACAAGTAGGGTAGTAAGTGGTGCCAAACACTCATCTCCCCTCGCACAGGAAGGTAAGTATGTGCGAACTCTACCAACCAATGGAATGAGAGATTCAGGTAACATGGGAATACACTCCAGTGTCTCCAACTCCTCATACTCAAAATAGAGTCACATTTAGTTCTTTCAGTGATCGGTGAGGTCATATTTCAGCTTGGTTGCAGGATCACAATAGAGCCTTTCCTCAAAATGAAATCACTGTGAAGAAGAGATCTTTTGGGAGTGAGGAAGAAGAAACTGCTGAACATTCAAGGTCTACCTTTTCTACTGAGCATGCCTCTTCAGTCCCAGATCTCATTGTTGACATCACATTATGCTCCGGCGCTCTCTTTTTTGAATGCATCTCATGGATACAGCTAATAGCGAGGAATATTTTAAATCCCAATTGCTTGTTGAAGAGTCAGCACCAGTGATTTTTTAATTGACTCTTTTACCTCACAAAAGTCACTGCCAGAACTGTTGATGTTAACTGTTTATTAAAATACTGGGGAAGTAAAATGTAGTCCTCTTGATTCACCAAGTGAAAGATTTACATTATATGCAAAAATTAAAGTGAGGAAACTATCTGCCCAACCTAAAGAACTTAAGTCAACAAAACATAGCAAAGGAAGGCTCACTTAGGCCAAAGATGATTGAATACGTCACACTAGAAACTAAGATACCAACAGGATTGCTGTTAATTTAATTGTAACAAATATACACTGTTTGTTTACTTACAGCAGGAAGCAGCAAAACAGAGGGTTGTAAAGGAAAAAGGGTTAAGGTTGAAAAAGGTGCCAGTGATCAGCTGGTAAGATGTTTTGGGGGTTAAATCCCATTAAAAATTGCTCAAAAGTTGCCTGCAGTTGGCACAGAGTAACTACTGGCCACGGTTGTTATTTCGTAAACAGAACTGCAGAAACAGACTTGCTTGGATTGAATTTCATCCCTCACTTTCCCTTCTTTCAAAGGCTTGAGCAGTCTTCCTGTGATGGGACTACAACTTCAGTACTATGGAATTTATCAAGAGCCCTGAAGTTAGTAACTCAGCTCAAAAAACAAGAGCAACTAACAGGCTACTTTGGCGTCCACAGCTCCTTTACAGGAGTCTGGTGCTGCAAGTGACTGGGAGCTCTAGCAATAACTCAGGCAGTAATTATGGACACCCTGTCAGATGGAAGCCGGCATTCTGCTGCAAAAGCAGGACTGGTCCTGGGATGGTCTCCTCTACTCAGAGGAAGCTGGCAGGTGGTTGACCAAATGTGGAGTACTGAAGGCTAGAAGTTATTCTAGGGTAATCTCTGAATTGGACAATGTCTCCTGAGCACAGACAGTAGGATGCTGAGCAGATCTCTCACAATAGCATGTGTGTGAATTCAACACCTCATTTTCCTAGAGATGGTCTTTGGGGTGGCTTGGACATTTGTTTGAACGTGTTACTGATTAAAAAGAATCTCACCACTTCTAATTTTAAAACTTCCACAATGTTTCATGGGAACAGCCCACTGCTTCTGAAGCAATTTTACAGACAGATGCCGCTTTAGAGTGAAAAATTCAATTTTCATCCACTCAAGTACCTGTCACTTAATCTAATCCCTGGTTAATATGTTCCTCCATTTAACATGATCATACCTGCAGGAACCAAATCATCATTTATATTAAAATAAGTTCTGCCTTTTATTCCGATCACTTCAGGCAGGTGTTATAGGAAAAATTAATTGGATATAGAAAGCTGCAATTGAATTAATAATAATAATAATTTTGAAAAAAGAGACCCCAACACTGAATGAGAAGGATGAGGGCCCAAGGAAGACCAGCAATAATGAAAAATAACTACAACAACATGGTGCCTTGGTCAAACGTCGTCACTTATGGTGTAAGCATTATCACATGCTACGTGAGCTGTGACACGTACCCTTGTGATCACAGTGAAAATAAATGCAATTGCTTATTTCAATCCAAACAGATTCTAACAGAGGTTTCCTTGTTTCTATAAAGCTTATTCCTCTTTTTATGATCCCTGGAATTTGCTTATAGAGCAAATAATTAGCCTGGACCACCACCTCACCCCACTACTTCGCAAGAGAACCCTCATCTCCTATTCAGGATGCCACAGTCTAGCCCAGTAAGCGTGAACCCTTAACAACTTACCATCATAGTAGAACTTGACATTTTCAGGCAGAGGTTCATATGGCGGAGCAAACACAGGACCTTTGTGCTCTAGGAATTTCCATTTAATACCTTCAGGATAGCGCTCTTCCTCCCACCTTTAAAGAGAGACCGACAAGCTGATACAAACTCACCCTCTAGCCATCATTTCAGTGTCTACACGGGAGGGTGACATATAAAAACAGTAAGCAATCACTGCACTGCATTTCAGAGTTCACAATGAGCAGTACACAAGCAAAACCTAGAACACCAACTGCCATCTTTTTGAAAAGCATGGAACAGGCTCCAGACACAAATTAATGCTGTTATGCCAGAGTTATATTCAACTGAGTTGCAGCACGGATGAGATTAGCCCATCATGTTCTTCACCAAACAAATGCATGCATGTGTACTTAAGAAAGGAAAGGACTGAATGCCAGGTATAGTACAGGCTTCTTTACAGCAAACTGTCAGTTTAACGAAGCCCTCATCTAACTTCCAGTCCAAGATCTCTCCAGAACAAATATGGACAACAGTAGCAAATTACGTGATCACTTTCTGATGTGGACAGATGTTCCAGTAAGGATAGACATGACAAAGAGAAATTGATTTTCACTTGTGACCTAAGCAAACTCAGGTGTTTCAGAGAAGAAATATTAATTAATTAATCCCCTCTGTCACCTCGCGCTCCTTTCCTTTTTTTTTTTTTTTTCATAATAAAGAGAACATGTTCTCTAAGGCAAGCACAAAACAAAGGATAAGGACAAAGGTGCCCTAAGGCTCCTACTGCAATAATTAATTAGGTCCCATAATAACCATGAGGTAGGTATTACTATTTTCCAGCTGAAGAAATTGAGGCAGAAAGGTTTAGAGACTTTTCTGGTGTTAATCAATGGCCAATGACACATCCAATAACAAATTGAAGAGCCCCAAGTCCTGGCTTCCCAGTCTTTTGCTCAAACTACCACACCACACTCCTTCCATACATCTGCACTGATCTTTTGTTATAGTGGTCTCATAAATATAAAGGGAAGGGTAAACCCCTTTAAAATCCCTCCTGGCCAGAGGAAAACTCCTCTCACCTGTAAAGGGTTAAGAAGATAAAGGTAACCTCGCTGGCACCTGACCAAAATGACCAATGAGGAGACAAGATACTTTCAAAAGCTGGGAGGAGGGAGAGAAACAAAGGGTCTCTGTCTGTCTATATGCTGCTTTTGTCGGGGACAGAACAGGAATGGAGTCTTAGAACTTTTAGTAAGTAATCTAGTTAGGTATGCGTTAGATTATGATTTCTTTAAATGGCTGAGAAAAGAATTGTGCTGAATAGAATAACTACTTCTGTCTGTGTATCTTTTTTGTAACTTAAGGTTTTGCCTAGAGGGATTCTCTATGTTTTGAATCTAATTACCCTGTAAGGTATCTACCATCCTGATTTTACAGAGGGGATTTCTTTACTTCTATTTACTCCCATTTCTATTGTCTTCTTGTAAGAAAACTGAATGCTTTTTCATTGTTCTCAGATCCAAGGGTTTGGGTCTGTAGTCACCTATGCAAATTGGTGAGGCTTTTTATCCAACATTTCCCAGGAAAGGGGTGTGCAAGTGTTGGGAGGATTGTTCATTGTTCTTAAGATCCAAGGGTCTGGGTCTGTAGTCACCTAGGCAAATTGGTGAGGCTTTTTACCAAACCTTGTCCAGGAAGAGGGGTGCAAGGTTTTGGGAAGTATTTTGGGGGGAAAGACGTTTCCAAACCGCTCTTCCCTAGTAACCAGTATTTGTTTGGTGGTGGTAGCGGCCAGTCCAAGGACAAAGGGTGGAATATTTTGTACCTTGGGGAAGTTTTGACCTAAGCTGGTAAAGATAAGCTTAGGAGGTTTTCATGCAGGTCCCCACATCTGTACCCTAGCGTTCAGAGTGGGGAAAGAACCTTGACAAGTGGCAATAAAGTAATTGTTACATACCATTGGGACAGGATCTCCTGCTGAGAAAATAGTCTATTTCACCTTAGCATTTATGCAGCAGGGGGACACTATTATCCTGTCACAGCATTCGATCTCTTAATCACCCAGCCAACTTGCTGGACAAAAAAATGCCATGTTTCTCCATGCTGCTCCTGATTCCTGTATCCCCAGCCCCCTAGCCAGTTTCATGCTGGAGTGAGTCATCAGCTGGGAGAAGACATACATGTACTGGCAGCAACGCAGGAAATGTTGTGCACAAATAAGTGCTGGTTGCTGCAGCCCTAATTAGATAACAGGATCACTGTATAAGAGACAGGTACCATATAAATATATAATAAGGCTTCTCTCTGAGGGAGCCCTAAGTGCTTATTAGCCTATATCCATATAGTGTGACAGGGTCAGGCCAGATGGCTATAGGAGAGTAATAGAAGGCAGATATATTAGCCCCAGGCTAAGTAGGTCCCCTTTCTCTGAGTAAGGTAAAAGGGAAAGTTCCAGAACAATCAGGAACCTTCTGGAGACCATTAAGACAGGCTGATTAGAACACCTGCAGCCAATCAAGAAGCTGCTAGAATCAATTAAGGCAGGCTAATCAGGGCCCCTGGGTTTTAAAAAGGAGCTCACTTCAGTTTATGGTGTGCATGTGAGAGCTGGGAGAAAGAGGCGCTTAAAGCTGAGAGTGAGAACGTGGACTGTTGGAGGACTGAGGAGTACAAGCATCATCAGACACCAGGAGGAAGGTCCTATGGTGAGGATAAAGAAGGTGTTGGGAGGAGGCCATGGGGAAGTAGCCCAGGGAGTTGTAGCTGTTGCACAGCTGTTCCAGGAGGCACTCTAGACAGCTGCATGCCACAGGGCCCTGGGCTGGAACCCGTAGTAGAGGGCGGGCCTGGGTTCCCCACAAACCGCCCAACTCCTGGTCAGACACAAGAGGAGTTGTCCTGGACTGTGGGTTCATGAAAATGCCCAAATTGAGGGCTGCTGTGAAGCTCAAAGGCAAGCAAATCCGCCCATAAGCGCAAGATCCACCAAGGTAGAGGAGGAACTTTGTCACAATAGGCACGGCTGAAATGCAACCACAGCCAGAGAGGAGACCAGGAATCAACTGGGACATAGCACACTGCTATGATAGGATGATACTGTTTTTGGCCAAAGCACCTTGACCCACCTTTACTTTTACAAGATGTGCAGTGAGATCCTCTGTGTCCAAGCAGAGCAGACAGAATCTCAATTGTTATAAGCCTCAGAGTAAAGACACCAACGAACCGAGGGCTTCCGTTCATGACACTGCAGTTTGTACCATGTGGGTGTGAACTGCAGGGTGAACAAAAGTGCTACATTGTAACTGCCCCACATGTACGCCGCTGGCACGAACTAAAAGGTAAATTTTAGTTCATGTCAATTTAGCCCTCTAGGGCTATGTTAATGTGAACTAGGTACCTCTTAGTTTGAGCCAGTAGGCTCCACATGGGGCAGTTACAGTGCAGCCTTTTGGCAAGCACTGCAATTCACACCCCACGTAGTCCGCAGTGCTATGCAGTGGAGACAGCCTATGTTTCGCACATCTCGACGTATCCAGTTTGCAAGAGCAAAGGCTGAGCTGATCACTTTGAGACCCGAACCTGTAGTACTAGGCGATTTCTAACCTGAAGTTTCCAGCACGGAGAAAAAGGTGACTCCTGAATAGTGGCTATTTGGCGGTGAAGAGGGAAGGAGATAGTCTGCCATGACTAAGGCTACGATTCTGTCACGGGTGTTCTTAGTAAAGACATGGACAGCTCACAGGCAATAAACAAAAATTCACGGCCCGGAACCTGTACCTGTGATTAAATCTTAAGGGGGACCAGGGCCGCTGTGGCAGGCTGCCTGGGGACTGCTGCCCAGGCTGCCGGAGCAGTGACCGATGTGGCTGTCCCCAGAGCTGCTCCAGCAGCGGCTGGTGTGGCTGTGTCCCCCGGGTCACTTCAGCAGCAGCCGGTATGGCTGTCCCCCGGGCCACCTGAGCAGCCGGCCCCAGAGCCAGCTGCTTGGGCAGCCCTGGGGTAGGCCAAACTGGCCCCTGCAGAAGTCATGGAGTTTGTAGAAAGTCACAGAATCCCTAACTTCTGCGACCTCTGTGACAGACACGGAGCCCTAGCCGTTATTGTTGCAATACTTTAGGATAGATTTGCTACTATTACTTTTAATGTTTGTTTGCCTCACTAGTCCCCTCACCAACACCGCTCCTGACATTCCCTTGTAGAGATTTTGTACCTCTGAAGCCATCCTACTCTCTAGTGATGTTGAGGTTAGATTCATTGTTTTGTGGGGGCACTTCTCCGGTTTGGAAGTTGAGCTGACTCCAAAGTGGTTGTGCCTTCAAATAGGCTGTTCCATGCTAGAGGACTTCAGACTGTAATTCTGTGCTCTAGAATCAAATTCATGTTAAAGAGTGTGCTTCCTCTGACTAAGTAACTCAAAGACAGCAGCAAGACTATTCAATCCACATTCCAATTAGGGATGCTCAAGACTGGACAGACATCGCTCTTGAAGCAGGGGCGTGCAACTAATGGATAGAGCACTTGACTGGGACCCAGGAGCCTGGGTTCTATTTGCAGCTCTGCCACTAACCGAGTGACCTTGAGCAAGTCATTTCACCTCTGTGCCTCAGCTTCCCTGGTTGTAAAATGGTGATGCCAATCCCATAATCACTAGAATTAAGATGCTCAAGAAGGCAAGCACTAGAGAAAACAACACAAAGAATTCAGATCTTCAGAAAACTGACTGGCATGGAACAAAATCCCTTGAAGAGCTGAGTCTGAAGTGCTACAAGATGGAGATGAAACCCATTTCACAAAAGACATGCTATAAAAAGCTGCAGATGGACCAAGCAAACACCAGCAGAAGGACATTCCTACTAACTGCCGGGTTTTGCACTTTCAAATACAGCTTTGCTCAGCAGTCAGCACAATTTGCTGAGCTCTGGCACAGCTAACTGGAATTATGCTGCCAAGACAGGCAAGTAGAAAGTTCTGTGGCCTTCCAATAAAGGCTTGCTGACAATACTGACTATGATATAAAAGGGGGAAATTAACTAGTAGGATACAGAGACAAAAACCAGGAAGGTTTGCTTGAGATAAAGCCAGAAGAGAGGCTTGTTAGGGCAAGAGACCATTTCTGGATCACCAGTTCTTTATGTACTAATGGTTACATTAAAACTGAAATAGATGAAAGCCAGAGGACCAGAAAGAGGTCAGGAAGCTAGGAGGGAATTCAGAGAAGAGCACCAGCATGTTATGGAGGGGCTCAAATGATACACTTAGGATGAAAGAGTAAAACCTAAACATACAAGGACATTTGGTGATCAGGGTTGCATTTGAAATCATGACAATTGGAGTCAAATATTTGAAGGCTGTAAACACTCTGAGGAAGAGGAGTTATTTTAGGGTGATGCAAGGCATGATGGGGTGAAACTGAGCAATGCAAGGTGAATACTAGGAGGGGTTTCCCAACAAGGAGGTCTAATAAAACAGCACAATAACCCCTCAAAGGGAAGAGGTAGATGGAAGCTCCGAAGTTGAGTCATTCGAAGGTCTTACAGAGTGCTGAGATGACAGGAGTCTGGAAAAATATTTGCATTTGAAGCCAAGCTGTATTAAACTGTAGGGAATGATGAGGGCCAGTCCTCAAATACATGAATATTCATTACCCTACACATACTCTGGGGGACAACACTGGATTGTATCTGAGATGCCAGTACAAAACCACTCGTAAAGAAAAATTCATCCGCTGAGTCATCAAGCTGACAAGTTCTTCAAGGGGAAAACAACACAGGTGCCTCTCATATCCCAGAGCCAGATAATTTTCTCCCTCTTGCACTCAAACTCGAGAATCCTCATTTATTTGTAGATCTATATTTTTAAATGCCAATGTCAGTGAACGTTGAACTTCAGTCACTCCAGTTACATTACTTTTTGGATTCTGCACAGGGGAAAAATGCTTCCCATTCAAACTGTATTTCCAGATTTGACAGATTAAATCTTAAATGCTTTTAAAAACCTCAAATAGAATGTGTTGATCAGCTTTCATTCATGTGTTCTTTAGGTAGTATCCCTTTTGTGAAGGGAGATTGTTGCACAGCTGAGATCAGACTGTAATAAACGGGGGTGAAAGCCAAAATTATTTCAACTGTATCCTTCTAGTTTACGGAGTTCCCAGGATCAGGTTTGCCTTTGAAGTGATACAGTGCTTTGTCTCCAATTAATATACCTGCACATAACCAAAAAACCTAAATCATCAATAAACGGAGGAGCTTTCATATTGCCTCATGATGGAGGAAACGCCTAGTGTCCGATCACTATGGGTAGCCTCTGTTTTACAGCAGGGAAGAGAATGGATCCATCAGCTTCTGGATCACTTGTTCCAGGATAGGAAGGAAACTAGTTCATTTTAAGGCAGCTCAGAAAAGCTGAAAAATGAATATCGTAGCACTTAAAGTTCTGATTTTTTTAACGTAAAGAATGAATATTCTGAAATGAGATTTTAAAAATGTTATTGAAAATTAAACCACACATTCAGAACACAAACCTTGATATGTGCCAACAGTAAAAGATAGTGGATCTGCAGGTCCCTATTTAATCTCTAGTCAGAGCACGATATAATGGATTTGAGGGTAAGCAGAGAATGACAAAAGGTTAATTTATCAGAGATTTTACCATTTCCACTTTTGCTCTTCCTCTTTCTTCTGCTTCTTTTTCTTGTTGTCTCCTTCAGGGACTTTCTTATCTTTGCTCTTAGTTTTCTTGGCTTTGTTGTCCTACAAAGGGAGGACAAGGAGGAAAGGCAGAAGGATTATTAGAACACAGCTACGTTTTATTCAACAAGATATTTTTAAAATAGAAAGACTCTTACTTAGACCAGGTCTACATTAGAAAATTTGCAGGTATAGCAATGTCGGATAGGGATGTGAATTTCTGTGACATTTCTGTGCTGTTGAAAGTCCTAGTGTATACATAGTTATACTGGCATAAAAGAGTGATTTTGCCGATACAGCTTATTTTGCACATAAACCCTACCAGCCCAAAGCACTTTTCTGCTGGCAAGTTGCGTCTACACTAGGGTTTTCTCTGCTGGTACAGCTATTTCAGCATAGCTTTTAAGTGTAGACTACACCTTCAAGAGCTAAGCACACCAATTGGAACCGCTCACTCAAAAAATACATTTCACCAGCATCCCTCTGCCAGCAGACTCGGATCCTGGAGCACTGTTCCTGCCCAGTAAGTAGCTGAAATCTCGTCATCTTAATAGCTTCTATTTCCTTTCCAAACAGGGCAGGACCTCAGGGCCGATCTACAATGGCTTTTAAAAAGCACTCGGCAGCTGCTTTGAGACTGTTACAGCTAAACCATGTACCAACTTCTTTGCCTTTGAGCTGCATCACATCATCTGTGCCAATACCAAAAGTTAATAAAGCTCCTTTTTCCATTGATAAATGCATCTGTACGGAAAGAGGGGCGTGCTACGTGGATTAGTCTGGGAGCATTAGAGCTGATCTACACTTACAATTTAAGTCAACGTAGCTGTGGTGTTCAGGGGTGTGAAAAGAAAAGGAATACTTGTGGCACCTTAGAGACTAACCAATTTATTTGAGCATGAGCTTTCGTGAGCTACAGCTCACTTCATCGGATGCATACCGTGGAAACTGCAGCAGACTTTATATACACAGAGAGAATATGAAACAATACCTCCTCCCACCCCACTGTCCTGCTGGTAATAGCTTATCTAAAGTGATCATCAGGTTGGGCCATTTCCAGCACAAATCCAGGTTTTCTCACCCTCCACCCCCCCACACAAATTCACTCTCCTGCTGGTGATAGCCCATCCAAAGTGACAACTCTTTACACAATGTGCATGATAATCAAGTTGGGCCATTTCCTGCACAAATCCAGGTTCTCTCACCCCCTCAACCCCCTCCCAAAAACCACACACACAAACTCACTCTCCTGCTGGTAATAGCTCATCCAAACTGACCACTCTCCAAGTTTAAATCCAAGTTAAACCAGAACATCTGGGGGGGGGGGGTAGGAAAAAACAAGGGGAAATAGGCTACCTTGCATAATGACTTAGCCACTCCCAGTCTCTATTTAAGCCTAAATTAATAGTATCCAATTTGCAAATGAATTCCAATTCAGCAGTTTCTCGCTGGAGTCTGGATTTGAAGTTTTTTTGTTTTAAGATAGCGACCTTCATGTCTGTGATTGCGTGACCAGAGAGATTGAAGTGTTCTCCGACTGGTTTATGAATGTTATAATGCTTGACATCTGATTTGTGTCCATTTATTCTTTTACGTAGAGACTGTCCAGTTTGACCAATGTACATGGCAGAGGGGCATTGCTGGCACATGATGGCATATATCACATTGGTGGATGTGCAGGTGAACGAGCCTCTGATCGTGTGGCTGATGTTATTAGGCCCTGTGATGGTGTCCCCTGAATAGATATGTGGGCACAATTGGCAACGGGCTTTGTTGCAAGGATAAGTTCCTGGGTTAGTGGTTCTGTTGTGTGGTATGTGGTTGTTGGTGAGTATTTGCTTCAGGTTGGGGGGCTGTCTGTAGGCAAGGACTGGCCTGTCTCCCAAGATTTGTGAGAGTGTTGGGTCATCCTTTAGGATAGGTTGTAGATCCTTAATAATGCGTTGGAGGGGTTTTAGTTGGGGGCTGAAGGTGACGGCTAGTGGCGTTCTGTTATTTTCTTTGTTAGGCCTGTCCTGTAGTTGGTAACTTCTGGGAACTCTTCTGGCTCTATCAATCTGTTTCTTTACTTCTGCAGGTGGGTATTGTAGTTGTAAGAAAGCTTGACAGAGATCTTGTAGGTGTTTGTCTCTGTCTGAGGGGTTGGAGCAAATGCGGTTGTATCGCAGAGCTTGGCTGTAGACGATGGATCGTGTGGTGTGGTCAGGGTGAAAGCTGGAGGCATGCAGGTAGGAATAGCGGTCAGTAGGTTTCCGGTATAGGGTGGTGTTTATGTGACCATTGTTTATTAGCACTGTAGTGTCCAGGAAGTGGATCTCTTGTGTGGACTGGACCAGGCTGAGGTTGGTGGTGGGATGGAAATTGTTGAAATCATGGTGGAATTCCTCAAGGGCTTCTTTCCCATGGGTCCAGATGATGAAGATGTCATCAATATAGCGCAAGTAGATTAGGGGCTTTAGGGGACGAGAGCTGAGGAAGCGTTGTTCTAAATCAGCCATAAAAACGTTGGCATACTGTGGGGCCATGCGGGTACCCATAGCAGTGCCGCTGATCTGAAGGTATACATTGTCCCCAAATGTGAAATAGTTATGGGTAAGGACAAAGTCACAAAGTTCAGCCACCAGGTTAGCCGTGACATTATCGGGGATAGTGTTCCTGACGGCTTGTAGTCCATCTTTGTGTGGAATGTTGGTGTAGAGGGCTTCTACATCCATAGTGGCCAAGATGGTGTTATCAGGAAGATCACCGATGGATTGAAGTTTCCTCAGGAAGTCAGTGGTGTCTCGAAGGTAGCTGGGAGTGCTGGTAGCGTAGGGCCTGAGGAGGGAGTCTACATAGCCAGACAATCCTGCTGTCAGGGTTTAACTTGAACTTCTGGTTTAACTTGGATTTAAACTTGGAGAGTGGTCAGTTTGGATGAGCTATTACCAGCAGGAGAGTGAGTTTGTGTGTGCATGGGGGGGTGGGGGTGGGGGGTGAGAAAACCTGGATTTGTGCTGGAAATGGCCCACCTTGATTATCATGCACATTGTAGGGAGAGTGGTCACTTTGGATGAGCTATTACCAGCAGGATAGTGAGTTTGTGTGTGTGGTTTTTGGGAGGGGGGTGAGAGAACCTGGATTTGTACAGGAAATGGCCCAACTTGATTATCATGCACATTGTGTAAAGAGTTGTCACTTTGGATGGGCTATCACCAGCAGGAGAGTGAATTTGTGTGGGGGGGTGGAGGGTGAGAAAACCTGGATTTGTGCTGGAAATGGCCCAACCTGATGATCACTTTAGATAAGCTATTAGCAGCAGGACAGTGGGGTGGGAGGAGGTATTGTTTCATATTCTCTGTGTGTATATAAAGTCTGCTGCAGTTTCCACGGTATGCATCCGATAAAGTGAGCTGTAGCTCACGAAAGCTCATGCTCAAATAAATTGGTTAGTCTCTAAGGTGCCACAAGTACTCCTTTTCTTTTTGCGAATACAGACTAACACGGCTGTTACTCTGAAACCTGAGGGGTGTGAAAAAATCTGCCCCCCAGGGGCACCATCGCTATGCCAACATAATCCCCGGGAAGACACAGCTAGGTCAATGGAAAATTACTTCTGTTGACCTAGCTACTGTTACTCTGGGAGGTGAAGTTCCTACAGCGATGGAAAAAAACCTTACATCACTCGAGGCTGTATGTACACTACAGGATTATACCAGCATAATGTCCCACAGTGTAGACATGACCTTAGAAAGTTATCTTCTTGAATGAGTCTTAAAAATCACCCATTTATTTCAGGGTAGAAACACTCCTTAAATTCCTATTTGGGCTAATAGGACATCAGACAGATTAGCTTTCATTGTTCTACAAAATACCACAAGCACTCCTTTCTTAAATCCAGAAATTATAACTTTTTTCTCACAATTTACCTCTTCCTCCTCCTGTTTCCTCTTCTTTGATTTCTTGATATCTTCTGTTTTGATTTTTTTGGGTTTATACTCATCACTGTAAGAGACACGGACCAGTTAAAAAAAATCACTTCGTTTCCTGATATGCACTTACATATATATAAGCATGAAGGCTACATGTGCAAATTCACAAACACCTCTGGGATGGACACCCATGCTCCCCATCCTCCCAAACTTACAGTGGGGTCCTCACTAAGTTTTTCAAAAGAAAGAAGAGCACTTTTTTGCTGGAATGGATTCAGAAGCTCTGCCCCTCACCATACAGCCAACAGACCCCTAAAATGACCTTTACAAATCTGAAACTGTGATGTGAAAAATCCTCTGAACGTGCAAAGATTTAGCGAACTTCACTAACTCCAAGTGAGCCAATTCCCAGGCATTAGTGGCCACCCACTGAGAAGAATACCAGATAAAGACTGGAACACTTTACAAGAGACTTTTTTGGGGGAAAAAGCCCATCTCACTCATTTTTCCTTGTCACTGCTAACAATCAGATGTCACTTCACTCCAATCAGCTCACTTCTTGCGTACCAGTTTGTTCAACAATGCCACGATAGTGTTAGTGGGGTCATAATCCTTCCATAACAGACACTGGACTGGAAAGTCACTAAAACTTATCAAGCAGAAGGCAATGGCTGACTATATAGAAGAAAAGTTCTAACGTCAGGTCCATCTCTCTTTTGGAAATTGACAAATACTACACAGTAACAGAAGAAAAATGGGACTGTGGTAATGGTCATTTACTAAGTATGGAAGCATGACTGTGCTCCTCAACTCAGTAGCAGTGATAAGTAATGGCAGTGATTTACTCAGATGGGTCACAATAAGATACAGCTGTGCTTTGCAAAAAGCCCATTTTACTGTGGGACATCACATGGCCTGTAAGTCTTAGGTGTGCATTTTGATTAAATTATTGGGATAACTCACAACATATTTAGACCCTTTTAAAGGGGAATCCATGCCAAGCAGCACAGGCGAAATTAGGGCTGACAAAGCTTTTTTTCTCCTGTGCAGTCATTTCACCGCGCAGCAGAAATTACTGCAGCCACTTAGTGAACGATTATGCCCCTCTTACTCAGATTTACGTTTTACATTCTTAATACCCATGTCCCTTTTCTCTGCCTGCTTTTTGATTTTGTATTCACTAGTTTTGCAATGCTTAACGGCACCTTTTCCTCCTCGACACAGAGCACACCAAAGGATACTTTTGCAAAAGGGCTGCATGGGTACCAGATCAAAAATACACCTAGAACATTCGTAGATATTAAGCATAGCAAATTTATCTTCCAGAAAAAAAATCTGGATCTAGATCCCCAGTCCCACATCCAACTTGTTCATTCTGAAAGGCCCAAAACCCCTCTAAACCATTCTCTTCACACAGGCACAGTACACAAGTTACTTACTCGTCCTCCTCCCGAGGTCTCTTTAGGGGTTTGGAGTCCTCCTTGGGAGATGCATAATAGCCATCATCATCAGGTTCATCTTTAATACGTGGCGGACTAAGGAAAAAGGCAGAGTGTTGTTTGTTTAAATACAGAACAATTAGTCAAATAATTTTTTGAAAACAGAACCGATTCAATGTAAGAAGTGAACTGTAAAGAGATACTGCTGGCTGGTCTTGGAGTGCAGAGTTCTGTATTTCTCCTAGCACCTGCACCAGTGCACCCCTTACACTGTCTGGGAGTATGCAATTCCCCCCACAATTGCTGACTCTATCCAAAAGACCTAAAGCAGTACAAGGAATGCAGCAATTTTTTACGTGTTAAGGTTAGGGTTCTAGGTTACTCTGAGTCTTATATTTTAAGTAAACACAGTGCAGCTTCCAAAAATTTACAAATGTATTGTTTAAAAACTACTGAAGTCTATGCATTTATGCTGCGAAACAGGGACATCATCAATTAACAGAAGTCCAGAGTCTTTGTTAAAAACAGTATCTCAAATGAACAGTTTGATTTTAAAAACAGCATTTGCAAATAGAACCTTGCAGCATTATACTAATTTGTGAGAACTAGATATGAAACAGATGATCAACAAAAAATTACACTAATTAGCCTATTTTCAATATCTAAGCTGCAAGAGTGCAACATGTGCATGCTCTCCCCACGCTCTCAAACAGACAACATAAATATTAAATTAGGCATAACATTTTCAGTCTTAATGTGCCATAATGCTAGGAGCAGAAATAATTTTAAGACATTTTAAAAGATATTGTCCTTTTAATTAACTTGTTTTTAAATTTCAGTCTTTGCTTTTGTAAAAAGCATTTCACTTATCTTTATAAAACAAATAAGCTGCAAAAGGAATCAGAAATCTAACTATTTCTGAATCGCCCTAAATGCAATTCTGGTCAGGTAAGCAACTCTAAGAGCAACATCTTGAGCTTTCTTATTCACATTCCCTCAAATGATTTCTGTATCAAATTAGCTCAGTTTCCAAGTCAACACTCAGATTTTGTTATTGGGTGGAATGGGAAAAGAGAAATCAAGCAGCAGTCTGCATTGTACATCACCCTCAGAGAGAGACATTCTGGAATCTTAATTTAGCTGGCAATTGTGTTGATGAGGCAGAACAGGACAGTTTGCTCTTTCACAGCTGTATAGCTTCTGTGCCGCTGGCAGATGTAACTCAGAAGACAGAGAACAGATATGTGCTGTTACAAGGAGCCATTTTTATGGCATTATTTATAACTAACCAAGACTTAAGCTTCCAGACGTTTGAAAAGTATCACCATAGGGAAAAAAAGTATTCGTTTACCCTGTACAATTTATTCTCCCTGGAAATAGAGCTCTGTGGCTTTTTGTCATCATCACTGTTATTAAAATGTTGTCTGCTTTATACAAGGAATCTTAATGCAGAAACATCTCCAAGCAGTTGGCAATAGGCAATGAAGTTTGAGACAGACAATGCAAAATGGAATAAACGGGGTACCACATTGTTCCCGAGAACACACATCTAGCTTGCCAAGATGTAACCCAGGCCATAATGCTTCCCCCTGCATCCTCCAAATCTTATTTTGGGTAATTTAGATTTTTTGGAAGGTGACATACTTCTAGTGAGCTTGACAATGGAACATTTCAGTGGGAGAAATACAAATTACTTCCCTATTAGCCTGTTTTGGGTTACCAACAGTGAGAGTCTGGGAAAAGTCTTCAACTGGCATGAGGAGGTAACGATGCACTGGTTACACAAAGTGCTGCAGCTGGAACCTGTGCTGAGCCAATTCCGTTAGTATGGGAGGGCCAAGTGTTTCCAGCTAAGGGCTTGTCTACACTTGAAACGGTACAGTGGCACAGCTGCAGCTGAGCTGTTGTAGCACTTCAGTGCAGATACTACCTATGCCGACGGGAGGGGTTCTCCCATCAGCGTAGGTAATCCACATCCCTGAGAGGTGGCAGCTAGATTAATGGAAGAATTCTTCCCATCCACCCAGCGCTATCTACACCAGGGGTTAAGTCAGCTTAACTATAGTGCTCAGGAGCATGGATTTTTCACACCCCTGAGCAACACAGCAGGGTCGACCTAACTTTTTAGTGGAGACCAGGCCTAAAACACATACATTCGGTGAAACTATGACAGTGCTCAATTGTCTGACTAGAATCAAAGGGTTAGAAGGGACCACAAGGGTCAACTAGTCTAACCCCCTGCCAAGATGCAGGATTTTTTGTGTCTAAACCATCCAAGACAGATGGCGATCTAGTCTCCTTTTGAAAACCAAGTGAAGGAGCTTCCATAACCTCTATAGGCAGCATGTTCCATCAGAAGGAGTTAACAAAAGGTACCATGCGCTGTATTAGGTAATTATGGCAATTGCCACTTGCTTATGATAATTACGGTTTGCATTTCCAAGGTAGTAGTTCTGAAAGGTCCTTGGAGAGGGGCATTTCTCTTTCCTCTACCAAGTCAGAAAAAAGCGTTAAATGCAGAGTCTACATGTTCAAATACTGCTACCTGAGAACTGAAACTACAGTATCAAGAAGAGATATTCAAAATAAGCATATGATTCTAATCAGGTAGAGCACAGGCAGGCTCCTTCTCATGACCCTCCCTGCCACAATTCCACTTCAGACCAAGGTGAGACTGGGATGAATTCTCAGTAGTGCGTAAAACTAAAGACAGCCCCCCCCCCAAAAAAAAACCCAAAAAACAAAAAAGGGGGAGAGGGAGGGAGGGTTTGAGGTTTCCAACCCTAGATATAAACTACTTTCAAGGCAGCAGATCTATTTCAATACACAGCAGATGGTCAGGCACCCCAAACTGAAAAACAGTCACAGGACCCAGATTCATGATCTGAGAACTGGATTTAAAGGAGTAAACAAGAAATCTTTATTGTTTGTCAGATGTTAAGAAATAAATGGCACTTCTATTAAAAATTCACAAGTAAATGAACTACAAGTAAATCTAGTGGTAATTGGTACAATTCAATATTCATGAAGTCTAGATGGTTCTTTAAGGATTAGGAAGTCAATAGAGTAGAATAAGTGACAAATTTTCTCAATTTTTTTTGTTAAATTTTAACTAGTGGCCTATTTGCTATTTCTTTACAAACTAGGGTTTGAAATCCTAGTCCCTCGATCTTGCTTTCAGATAAGCAAGTACCTGGGGCGTAGCATTATCAACCCCAACTCCAGAAGACAAAATGCATAGAGAGTCAAATGCTTGCCACGACACCCATTTTACAGCAGAGTAAGGACTTCTTCTAGCTCCCAGTTAATACCATTTCCAGGAGTCGGTTCTGCCCAGGGCAGAACCTAGTTTCCAGATCACTGGATGATAGCATTCAAGAATCCATGGTAAGGAACAATCCTGAATGCATAGAATAGACCAGATGTCCTAACAGGTCTTTTCCCATCACTGACTTCTGGGAAGTCAGCCAATTACCCAAAAGTGCATCCATTTGCTTGAGATGGGGGCTCTTTATATGGAGGAAAGAAGTCACTGCAATATCAGAGTGTCTGCCTCCACAAACTGGGTGGGAGGGGCCATAACAATTTGAGGATTGGGAAACAAAGCAAAACCATGACAAACTGCTACATCAGATTACAGACCCCAGACTCACTTTCTTACCTGGAGAAACCATTTTCCTTTTCCTTCTTTATTTTTACATCACCAGAAGATTTGCTCTGAAAAAGAAAAGGGGACAGAGAACCTGCAGCAGGAACAAGTGCTCATACTATTTGTAACTTAGTCCTTTTAGCACACCCAGGATGCCTACATCTTTGTTATCAGCTACATTCTGGCCTTCCATTAGTGTCAGTTGGCAAAGGTCAAGTGTAGTTATCAGTACAATATCTGCTACATCTTATACTGGGAAACTGAAGCCTGCTGTTGCATAGAATGAACTTAATCTAAATTGACCTTTGACGATTATGAATCTAAACTTGATATTGATTTCGGAGTGGAATTACAATAGGAAAGATGTAGAGCAAGAACCTTAGTGGTGTAAGTAGGCACAGCTCCATTGATTTCAGTGGAACTGTGCCCATTTACACCAGTTGAGGATATGGCCCCTAGAGACTGTGGCTTACAAGATATTGAGCTTTAAGTCTCAAACTTAATTTGGGGTTAGTTTCCACTATTAGGTAACTAAAAACTAGAAGCAGTTCTTGTGTCTTCATGTAGTGCAACAGTTAAAGCAGAATTGCCCCTTCCCACCCACATTAAAGAACTACCTACCTTTTCTTCCTTTCGTTTCTCCTTGTCTCTATCTTTGTGTTTGTCTTTGTGTTTCTCTGAGCTGCCATCTTTGTGTTTGGTTTTCTCTTTCTCTTTGTGTTTCTTCTCCGAGGAATCTTTGTGCTCACTGCAAGATAGAAGAGTCAGTTCAATGAGGGGCTGTTAAGAGGCTTGACCAACAGGAGCAACTTACAGTGTTAACCGTATGAAACTTACAATAATCTGAAATAAAGTCAAATTAACAGGAAGATACAACAAATCAGTCAGATTCATGGCATTTACTTTCTTCAGAAGGGGAAGAAGGAACACAGGGTAAAACCACAGCCGCTAAGTACTCCAAATCAGGTTAACAGCATCAGTGTGAGGTTGCCAGTGAAAAATCACAACATGATATATTTACCAAGGTCAAACACTTTAGCTTGGCTATTCACTGTTCTTGTTTCTGTTTCCAATTAAATCCTGAAAGGTCACAAGTGAAGCGATACTGATAGTCACATTCCACTCCTCTGTGGACATTTGTTTAGATAGTAAGTAATACATACCAGTTTTGTAGTTTTGACATTTTCATCCAAAGAACTAAATTCACTTTATAAACATTTGGTAGGTGACTATTCCCCTATCAACGGAGGAGAAACTGAGGCAGAGAAAAGTTAGTGACATGCCTAGGGTTACCCTAAATCAATGGAATAAAACTCAGCAGTCCCTAATTCCTAGTTGCTTGCTCGAACGAGGCCTCACTAAACCTCTGTCAAAATCACTATACAGCTCAGCACAATTGGCTTTGTGCTCAGGAGAAGCTCAAGTCAGAATAATAACGACAAGTCAGGACAGGAGTGCAGAGATGTTACTATGCCTAGTTTTAACAAATGCTATGAGTTCATTGCCACTCAGATTCAAGTGCTGCAGATTACAGCATTGTCAATCAAGTGTTCAAAAATAATAAATGAGTCTGCAAAGTCATGATAAAAAAAACCAAGGTTCTTTTTATTTCCCCTTTTGGTTTCTGAGCCTTTTAGGATACACTCTGATCACATTCTCAACTTTTTCACTTGAACTATGAGGGCTAGATTCTCAGGTTGTTACTTGATCCCAAGAGCTGCAGTCTCATGAAACACACCAATCATCTCAAGACTCATGTTAAAAAAGTCACAAGAGTTGGCAACACAGAATTAGCAGCACGGTTCTTGAAGCCAAGCAGCAATACTACTAGTTCAACATGCCTCAGATATAGGCTTGTTTACAAAACTGAATGAAGTCCAATTAAAACACAAGAAAAAGACCATGGCTCCCTGCAAGACAAACATGGGGGAAAAAAACAGTTACCTTTTCCATAACTGGTGTTCTTCGAGATGTGTTGCTCATGTCTATTCCACAATAGGTGTATGTGCTCGCCACGTGCACCAGTGCCGGAAGATTTTCCCCTAGCAGTACAGGGGGGGGGCGGCAGCCTGACTGGCACGGTATAAGGGGAGCTGTGCGCTTCCCCCCACCCTCAGTTCCTTCTTGCCAGACAACACCGACAGAGCGGAAGAAGGGTGGGATGTGGAATAGACATGAGCAACACATCTCAAAGAACACCAGTTACGGAAAAGGTAACTGTCTTTTCTTCTTCGAGTGATTGCTCATGTGTATTCCACATTAGGTGATTGCAAGCTATATCTGTTGGAGGTGGGTAGGAGTTCACAAGTTTCCAGGATGGAGGACAGCCCTGCTGAACCCGGTGTCATCCCTGATTTGGGAGATGATCGCACAGTGTGAGGTGAACGTGTGAACCGAAGACCACGTTGGCGGCCCTACAGATGTCCTGCATGGGGACGTGGACCACGAAGGCTGCTGGCAAGGCCTGTGCCCGAGTTGAGTGTGCCCTTACAATGGGCGGCGGGGGAACACCCGCCAGCTCATAACAGGTGCGGATGCACAAAGTGATCTGATTGGAAAGCCGCTGAGTGGAAATCAGCTGGCCCCTCGCACGCTCGGCTGAGGTGACAAACAGTTGCAAGGACTTCCTGAATGGCTTGGTCCACTCGAGGTAGGAAGCCAGAGCCTGTTGCACATCGAGCATGTGGAGACGGCACTCCTCACTGGACGTGTGGGGTGGGCATGGAGCAGAGGACCGGTAGAAAAATGTCCTGACCCATGTGGTAGATGGAGACCACCTTCGGGAGGAATGCAGGGTGTGGGCGGAGCTGGTTATATAAAAACCGTGTACGGCGGCTTGGAGGTCAGGGCTCTGAGCTCCGAGACTCGTCTGACCTATGTGATTGCAACCAGAAAGGCCATCTTCCACGAGAGGTGAGACCAGGAGCACATGGCCAGTGGATCAAAAGGGGGCCCCATGAGAGGAGCCAACACCAAGTTCAGGTCCCACTGCGGGACCAGGAGTCTAGAATATGGGTAAAGACGGTCCAACCCCTTGAGGAACCGGCCAGTCATAGCATGGGGAAATATCGTGTGCCCCTGCACTGGCGGATGGAAGGTAGATATGGCTGCCAGGTGCACCCTGACTGACGAAGGCGCCAGGCCCTGGGCTCTCAGGTGGAGGAGGTAGTCAAGAATAAGGGATCGGGGCAGTCACGGGAGAGACACCATGGTCCGCCGCCCATCTAGAAAAACGGGACCACTTCACCAAATAAGTGCGGCAAGTGGAGGGTGTCAAGGAGGATGCGCTGAACCTGTTCTGAGCATGTTCTCTCCTCTCCGCCTAACCACTGAGCAGCCACACCATGAGGTGAAGAGCCGCTAGCTTGGGATGGAGGAGGCGAGCCTGGTCCTGAGAGAGCGGGTCCGGGTGGAGCGGCAACAGCCACGGCAGAGCTACCGCCAGGCCCGTGAGGGTCCCATACCAATGTTGCCTGGGCCATTCCAGAGTAATCAGGATGACCTGGGCCTTGTCTGTCTTTATCTTCTCCAGGACCCTGCTGATTAGAGGGAATGGGGGGGAAGGCGTAGAGAAGCTGGCCTGACCAAGACAGGATAAAGGAATCATAGATCGCCTCCCCTCCACAGGCCCCCCCCAGAGCAGAACCGGGTACATCCCAGGTGGAACTATTCGCGACTCAGCAGAACCGGCGGAGTTCCCCACCTTCGGAAGAGCCGGTGGTCCACTTCCGGGTGGAGGGACCACTTGTGTTGCAAGGAAAAGTCCCTGCTCAAGTGATCCGCTCTCTCGTTCTGGACACCCAGTAGGTGGAAGGCCCTCAGGTGGATGTTGTGGGCTATACAGAAGTCCCACAGCCTGAGGGCTTTGTGGCAGAGGATCGGGCCCCGCGTTGTCTGTTGATATAGAACATCGAGGAAGTGTTGTCCATGAGGACCCTGACTACCTTGCCCTCCAGGTGTGAGTGGAAGGCCATACACGCCAGCCACACCGCCCTGAGTTCCTTGACATTTATATGTAGGGTCAGGTCTTGGGCTGACCACAGGCCTTGGGTCTGAAAGTTCCCTACATGGGTCCCCCAACCCAGGTCCAACGTTGGGGACACCAGCTCCAACGACGGGGCACTGTACCTGAACAGGACCCCTTGGAGCATGTTTGGGGCGGACCACCACTGTAGGGAGGTGATCACAGAGTCCGGCACGGTGAGGACTTTGTCCATCCTGTCTGGGGCCTGGGAGAACTTCGAGGCCAACCAGAGTTGGAGGGGCCTCATCCTGAGTCTGGCGTGACGGACCATGTATGTGCACGCCGACTTGTGACCCAAGAGCTGCAGGCAAACCCTGGCTGTTGTCACTGGGAATTTTGAAACGAGTCGATGAGACCTTTTCAGAGTCTTGAATCTGTCTGGAGGAAGAGAGGCTGTGGCCGAAGCTGTGTCCAGGAGTGCCCCAATAAACTCTATGCGTTGGACCGGGACTAACATGGATTTGATGCTGTTTACCAACAGGCCCAAGGCGGTGCATGTGGACAGGAGGTGCCCTTGACCAGCCAATCGTCCAGATAGGGAAAAAAATCTGGATCCCCCCCCCCTTGAGGTAGGCCGCTACCACCGTCATGCATTTCATAAACACTCTGGGGGCACTGGACAGACCAAACGGAAGGACCGTGAATTGGTAGTGATTCTTTCCCACCATGAAACGGAGGAATGGCCTGTGCCCCTTGAATATGGGGATGTGGAAGTATGCGTCCCACAGATCGAGGGCAGCATACCAGTCCCCGGGATCCAGGGAGGGGATGATGGAGGCCAGGGAAACCATGAGGAACTTGAGTTTCACCATGTACTGGTTCAGACCTCGCAGGTCCAGGATGGGTCTGAGCTTCCCTTTGGGATAAGGAAGTATCCGTAGTAATACCCCTTGCCCATGAACTCCTCGGGCACCGCCTCTGCCGCTTCTAGTCCTAGGAGCCACCCCACCTCCTGCTTGAGCAGAGCCTCACGCGAGGGGTCCTCCAATAGGGACGGGACGGCGGGTGGTTGGGCGGAGAGGAAGTAAACTGGAAGGCATAACCCTGGGAGATGGTGCTGAGGACCCATCGGTCCGAGGTTAGCCGCGACCATTCTGGGAGGAAAGCACACAACCGGTTGGAGAAAGGGAGCTTTATTGAGAGTGGATCCCTGATGAAGACTGCCTGCTTGCCCTTAGAGGAGCCAGGCTGGGGGGCCGGCCGAGACGGCCTCTAAGGCATCTCTTATAGTCCCGCTGTTTCTTGTGGGCGGCCTCATACTTCGGGAGGGTGGCCTGGGCAGGAGTCTGCTGCGCCTTGAACTTAGGTCTTGCCGGAGCCGGTACATATAGGCCCAGAGTCTGGAGGGTCGTGAGGGAGTCTTTCATGCCGTGCAGCCTTGTATCTGTCTCCTCCGCAAACAGGGCTTTCCCGTCAAATGGGAGATCCTGCAGGGAGGACTGCACCTCGCTGGAAAGCCCAGAGAGCAGGAGCCATGGCACCCGTCTCATGGACGCCGCGGAGGCCATAGATCGTGCGGCCATATCTTCAGCATCCGAGGCTGCCTGTAGGGATGCCCTAGCGGCCGCTGCCCCCTCCTCCACTAGTGCCTTTAACTCCTTTCCATTGCGCTACTGGAAGCCTGCAATTGGAGGCTGGTGTCTGCCACAGGGCATTTTAAATTTTAGCCACCCCTTAATGGAGAGGCAAGGCCACCCTACTCATGCCGACGAGGACAGCATGTT